AACTTTTATATTACCAGTGTGCCCTACACTATACATAGAGTCCCAGACAACAAATTTTTTGATGTCGTGTGCAACCAATGTCTGTCCCTAAAACAATGATGGTGACATGGTGTCTACAACGTAAAAATGTTGCCAACTTCTTTTTCTCTGGTGAAGAATCTTGGGATCAATCACCATCATCAATCATCCTTTCAAATTAAATTTTTCTTTTCCTTAAAAGAAAAATTAAGATGATTTTTTATTCAAACAATGCAACTTTTAAATCTTTTTACTACAAAAAAAAAAACAACTTAGAAGAAAAAAAATTGATAAAAATAAAACTATCTTTAAAAATATTTAATTTGAAAAATATAGAAGAATGGAAGTAAGAAAAAAAAATCTATGAACCCCCGTTCCTTTTTTTTGTTTTTTTTACTTTCAAGTTTTTCACTAGAAAAAATTGTATTTAATGACGACCTATTATGATAATGGTAAAAAAATAGTCATAATAAGTAAAACAGTAGTATTTTTGTAATATTAAAAATATTTATTATGTTTTTTATAAGAAGAACTGACATAGTAAGTAGTATAACAAAAACAGACATAATAAGTTCATTGATGACATTTTCGTAATAAACTTACTATGTCGGTTATACAATGAATCAACATAGTAAATTACTTAATATATCGGTTATAATGAGAACAGACATAGTAAATTTCTCGGTGACATTTTTGTAATATTAGATATAAAACTTACTATGTCGGTTATACTTTTAATCGACATAGTAAGTTGCTTAGTATAAGAACAGAAACTTACTATGTTGGGTATTTATTAACCCGACATAGTAAGTAATTTACAATGTCTGTTTTTTTTTTCATAACCGACATAGTAAGTGTTTAAGGTTTCCCATTTCCATTTCATCTCCGTGCGTTCTATTTTTGTTCTTCGTCTTCCCATAGTCTTTGCATCCTCCTCCACGCTACACAGTTCATTGCTGTCGACCCTCATTGCCTATGTTCGAGTTCACTGTTCTCTAAGAAATGAGTTTAGAAAAGAATTATACTCTGAATTGAGAGCAGAGTTAATGTCAGACATGCGAACAGAGTTAGCACCCATGGGAGTCTCTACTCAACCTTCTACTACCCCTGCACCTCCACATGTTGATCTTAATAGATCAAGGGAAGCTAGTGTTGATGCTCGTATTGATTGCGAGTTGTACATTGATGTTCCTCCCGAGTACTTGGTTGCCTTAGGTAAATATTATTATAATTTTCATTTTCATTTTCATTTTCATTTTCATTTTACATTTGATATATTCTAATTAAATTTATGTGTTCTCTTCAGGTAAAATTTATACATTAGGATCAACCATTCACCATCAGACAATTCAAGACGACATGATACGAGTGGTTGTTGTAGAAGTTTGAGATGCTACCGCTCAAGTCCTTGTGCCCACTAAAGAGGTTCAAACAGTGGGACAAGCCCCATGACATTTTATTCTTTGACCGATTAGATTGACAAAATCGATCATAACAAGGGTAAGTTAATTTACCAAATTTAATTATGTATTTTTATTCTTTACATGATTAAATGAGTTTAATATATGTATATTGTTAAATAAGATGTTTTTATGAAAAAAGTTGTTAGAAATATAGAACCGCAATTATCTCCTATGCAACGACTTGGTGCAATGGCAGTGAGTTTAGGAAAACAACCGGTACAAATAGATATGTCTTTTAAAGTAATTGGCAAAATTGTTACCATCCCTTTCTTTATCTGCCAAAGAGATGTGTTTGATAGTCTTACTCGCACTGATCTTCTATGTGTATCAAGTACTACAACTTTGGTTGTTGTAAGTATATTTTCATTAATTTAAATTTTTTTAATGTATTCAATATGTTATTCTAACATTATTGTTTTTCATATATATGGTATTTACATCGTTTTTGCATTGAGAAGAAGAATGCTTACATTTATGGATTTCTTGACCATGTTGTCATTCAAAGCATAGGGAATAAAGTTAATGAGGTGCAAACATATTTGATAGAAGCATTTCAAAATTCAAGCAAAGAAGTGTACTTAGCACCTTACTTGCTTCAGTAAGTATATAATATCTTTAACAATGATTTTTACCTTTCAGTCGGTACTAATGCTATTACAACTTGTAGGGGTCATTGGTAACTGTTAATAATTTTTCCTTGACAATTTTAGTGGTTCTTTTGTGCTCATTGCACAAGAAAACTACTACTTTGGCTATTAGGAGTATAATAGACTCGTAAGTTTCTTATTCAACTATATTTGATTTGTTATACAATGTAATATTAATGAATTAATTGTTTAATATAATTTACTTTACATTGTTTTATATAGAGCTATGAATGCATATATAAAGTTGTGGGGGCTTCCACAAGTTGCTAGGAAGAAACTTCAGTATATTGTACCTAATGTAAGTTATTTGTATAATTACTATTCATTTGTTAAAATGACATATATTTTCATTATCATTTTTATATTTTGCAGTGCCCACATCAACCAGGAAACCATGAGTGTGGATATTATGTAATGAAACACATACACACAATCATATCTGCTAACATTATTAACTCATGGAAAGAGGTAATATAAAAAAAAATTCAAGGACATAACCATATGATGCATACTGCACATTAATTCTATTATTTTCATTATAAAATTTCACTGGATATTACATTTGTTATACATCTTTAGCATCTCATTATTTGTTAATTATTATTTATTGATTAAATAAATATTGATTTTGTAGATATTCAATGATCCATACCCATTGAAAGAAAAAGTTATAGAAGACATGAGAATACAATGCGCTTCTCATTTTTTAAGTATTTTTGACAATTTGTAAATTCTTTTAACATATGATGTAAATTAAATAATACTATATACAATTTTGTATATTATTGAGTACATAGTCTGCTTGAAAAATTGTATGTTATTGAGTATATAGTGTGCCTGAAAAATGGATATTATTATGCAGGGAGATTGATGTTTAAAATAAAAAAGGTTATTAAAAAAAATTGTTACTTTTTATGTCGATTATAAATATAACCGTCATAAAAAGTTGACTTTTTATGACGGGTCATACCATAACTATCATAGAAAGTGAAATTTTTTATGACGGTTGTTATCTTAACCGTCATAGAAAGTGGACTTTCTATGACGGTTAAGGTAGAAATCGTTATAAAAAATGTCTTATTTTTAAATTTTTTTATGATAGTTATACGTGCAACTGACATAAAATATAATTTTTTAAGTCGTTTTAAAATTCGACATAAAAAATTAATATTTTTTATATGTCTTGTACGTTTATAAATAGACATAAAATGTCCAAAATAATTGATATAAAAAGATTTTTCTTTAGTAGTGTTTTTTAGTCATAGTTATTCGGGTGATTTTAAACTAAGAAACCCTAAAAAAATCTCAACTAATATATTTTTATTTGTTTTAGATATGTCTAAAATAAATTGTCACATTCACATTTTTGTTTTTATCATAACTATTATATTTTTCATCCATTTTATGTTTTGGTGATTTTTTAATATCATCTATTATCCATGAAATATATAACATAGGTATTGTATTTCACTAGTAGAAGAATTTCATTGGAGTGTGATAAGTAAAGTTTTTGTATGTAATTTTAATTTTTGAAAATAAAAATACCTCATTAATGACACGCACCACCATGATTTTTTCAGCATGCATAATGAAATTTGTTTATAAATAAAAATAATTTTAGTGTAAATTTTATAAATAAAATGATTTAAATCAAAGATAATTATTTATATAAGTATTTTTTTAATCTTAGATAATTTAAATTCATAAAATTATATTAAAATAATATTTCTATTGACAAACAATTAAGTAAGATTGATTGTCAAAATAGCAATATGATAAAACTTGACAAAAATAATAATTTTGAAGATAGTTTTCTTATACCCACGGAATAAATCCAATTGCAACCTCTAAATATCTCAAGAAATATCACACTCATTGAATAGACATATACACATTATTACAGATTCTGATTGATTGGTTAAATCCAACTACCCATCCAATACTTAGCCATGGCATAAAATCCATCTTACATATTAATTAATTTTTTAATAATAATAACATAATTATTGTAATATAAACCTATTCTGATTTCTTGTATAAACTTTATAGATCAATGAAGATTAGAGTAAAAGTAATAATAATAATAATAATAATAATAATAATAATAATAATAATAATAATAATAATAATAATATCAAAATAAAATTCCTATAAACTTTATAGATCAATCAAGATTAAAATAATAATAATAATACTAATAATAATAATAATAATAATATATCAAAATAAAATTCAAGGAAGGAGAGTGAGAGCAACTTGTTATATAAACCTATGAAAACAAGATATATAAGTTTGAGGTTGATAATGTATTTTAATATAAAATAACAATCAATTACATTTTATAAATTAATATAAAATTATTAAACTTATTTTATTGTAAAAGAATCACATTTTTAGAAAATAAAAAAATTAATAATAATTTTTTTCTTCTTTAATATAGGTTTAAAATCTCAACCTATTGAGGCTAAGTAAGATATTTAGTATTTATTTGTACTTACTTTTTTGTTACGTATGGTTGTTAAAAAATGTAAAAACATTAAATTCAGAGTGAAATTATTATTTATAAAGTAAATATTAAATAAGAAAAATATTACGTGATATTATTTTACATAAAAAAAACTCAGATGTATTTTGATGGAAATCCAGGGAATAACCATGGCTATCTTGCCTTAACCATTCAGTCCGTGGGTCCCATTTCCCAATCACTGTCTCAAAAGAAAACCCTGCCATTGGCAAAATCAGGTTACCTATAAATTCACAAAACCTTACAAAAAAAAAAAAAAACATCTACCTTTCACTTCATTTGTGTTCCTCTCTCTCCACATCTCCCTGCGCAGAGAGATAGTAGAACACTCAAACCACTGAATCAGCCATGGCTAACTTCTCCAAGGAACGCGGGAACTGTGTCTATGTAGCCAAGTTAGCTGAACAAGCTGAACGCTATGATGGTGCTTTCTCACTCTTGATTTTCACTGTGAAATGAACACTTGTTCTGATTCCTTAGTTTAGCTGCATTCCACTTTCAAAAAATGTTTCCAGCATTTCTGCTGCTAACAGTTTTCTATTCCCCTATAGCAGCCTTTGGTCTGATAAAGTTTCAATTTTTTTATAATTGTCCACTGCTTTTTCACTTCTGCATATAAATCCTACTTATTTCACCATCTCAATTATTAGGAAAGAAAAAAGTGAAATTTGAATTTTTTGTTGTATATTGGGATAAGTCCATGGTTGAATTTTACAATAGTTGCTCTAAAAGTGATACAGAATTTGATTTCCTAGTAGAATTTGGCGATTTTTTTTCAATGTTTTTTTTTTTTTAACATGATTATGAGTGAGAAGAGTGTGAAGATTAACCTCTATATTTTTTTGTTGTGTGTTTTGGAATTTTATTCAAGAGTTTTGGGTGGTGGAGTTTAATAAATATTTCAAAAGTCATATCTTCCATGATTTCTGAGTGGATGATAGTGACAATTAAATTCAAAGTTGATTTCTTATGTGTTATGGAGTTTGATTCAAGAGTGTTGAGTGGTGTGGTGTGCAGAAATGGTGGATGCCATGAAGAAGGTCGCGAAGCTGGACGTTGAGTTGAGTGTGGAAGAGAGGAACTTGTTCTCTGTTGGATACAAGAACGTGGTGGGGTCACGGAGAGCTTCATGGAGGATCTTGTCATCGATAGAGCAGAAAGAGGAGTCAAAAGGGAATGAGTTGAATGTTAAGCGCATCAGGGATTACAGGCACAAGGTGGAGTTGGAGCTGTCTAACATTTGCAGTGACATTATGATAATTTTAGATGAGCATCTTATTCCATCCACTAATATTGCGGAGTCCACAGTTTTTTATTATAAGATGTATGCTTCGTGGTCTTCTTCTTTGTGGCTTCTTAATTGTTGTTTATGATGTCAGATGTGCAAGATTTTTTGAGTTTTTAATTGGATGCAGGAAGGGAGACTATTACCGGTATTTGGCTGAATTCAAAGCTGGAAATGAAAAGAAAGAGGTAGCAGATCAGTCGCTTAAATCATATCAGGTATTTGATGGAGGTAACAAGGATTACCTCTCTAAAATGAGTTTGCCTTATATATTATGTCTTTGCCAGACTGCTACTCTAATGACGAGGTTGGGGTGGGATGAATGTTGCCACTTGCTGCTTTCAATGTTAGCAGAAAAATGTAGATAAGACTTATTGTTTGAAGGACAAAATCTAACAGGATAATTGTCATCCTTTCATAACTTTGTGTTGGTAGGTTAGGTAAAGATGCTTTCACTTTTCGTCCAAAATCTGGCTCATTAGTTGCGGCTACATAAGAATAAACTTTTTGTCATGTCTTTCATTAGGGCTTGCGAAGTTTATCTGAACATCTTTATGCCGTAAATTTAGATCTTATGTTAATAATTTGTTTGCTGAGTTAGTCCGTTTCTGTACATTACTAGATTACTACATGACACAAGTTATGTTGAACCATTTATTAATGTTCGGTTCTTGCCTCTGTAGGGGAATTTCATTGGGTTTTAACTAATTATTTTGGCCAGTGATTTATATATATTTATTATGCTCTACGAGGGAAAGTTTAGCTACACAAATAGTTATATGCACTATGTAATGCAACATCCTTCCTTCGATGCTTAACAATTTTGAGCTTCCATGCAGTTACAAGATGCCTTTGTAGTAATTTAATCACACGTTATGATTTTCTGTATCCTTTGAATGGGGATCCGACATACTGTAGAAGGTTTTACAAATTGTATTGTCTCTCTTCATTTTGATTATTTGGATGGTAGGGGATTAAGGATATTTTTTTTCTTCTTTCTACCAGAAAATGAGGAGATCCTTTTGTTTCTTATAAACGAATCATTTGTTTGCATTCTGTAATAGGAAACTTAGACGACCAGTTGACATGTGGTATCTTGAATAGGAATAAGCATAATACAACAAATAGGTATTGTTAGTCTTCAAAAACTGAGCTCCAATGTTTTGTTATTGGTAAAGTTCATGATAAGAGGCAGGATGGAAAAATACATCTAATTTGGGAGGATTTCTGGGTGGTAGAGTAGTAATTCATAGAGCAGTAATCAATCCCTTGCCAAACTTTCATTTTTTATGCTAACACTTTACCGTGATCAATAAAGATAAGATGTGGGTAGAGTTTACTAAGTATACATGGTTGCTTGTCCACTTCTTAAGTCTTAGTATACAGAGTTGCGTACAGGTTTTGATGACTGGAAGTTAAAAGCTTTACACTGTTTCAGCCTTTTAGGGTCCATTTGGTGAAATCTGTGTAGATTGGAAATTTTTGTAAGCTTCATTCATCAAGCTTCCTGTGGTGGAAAAAAAACTGTTCTAAGGTTTATTTGGCTGTAAAATGTTCAAGGGAATTTATTCATCCTTGAAATTTAATTGGTTAAAATCATAATGTAATTTGAATTAAATTAAAGCAGGTTACAGAGATAACCCTTACTAGTGTTGTAAATACTGACAAAAACACGAACAAAACTTGATTCCTGAGGTGTGTATAATTATTGCCCTTAAAGGCTTATCGTGAGGTGTGTATTACGCAAGTCCCCCAAGATAAATAGGAACTTCTCGGATTTTTCGAGGAACTTAGAAACTAGCAAGAAACTCTTAAAAGAGTAAATAAACTCAGGATAAAAGGAATGGAAAAGGAGAGGAGAGAAGATTAGTAAAACTGTGTTTTTGGAGGAGTGTGGAGTGGTCTATTTATAGGTGTAGTATCAGTAATAAATCCATCTCTGTATTCAACATTGTACCCTAGAAACATGGGAGAGTGTAACACTTCTAGGTCAGTGGGACACATTTTAGGTTTTGCAATACCCCTATTTTACAACAACTAGTACACTTTAAAAACTCAATTTAGAGCCTTATCCTGTGGCATTGTGAATATTTTGATCTCAGTTTCAAGGGAAATGGCTCAGTTCTGTGTTGTCACCCTTTGTTTTTCTGAATTCAAGGAATTGCTTTTCTAGCTTTTTACCTATGGAGAGGAGATATCTTTTGCTTTTGACGAATTGTATTTTATCGGAATTGGCACGGGTTTTGATGTTATGTTGCTCCCTTACTGTTTCATTTGTTATTCCTCAATATTTGTGTATTTTGTTATTTGTGCCACATTGAAAACCTCAAATTTCTAGCTTACACTAAAACTGTTGAGTCATGATTATTCACAGACAGCTGCTACCACTGCTGAGAGTGAATTACAACCTACACATCCCATTCGTTTGGGTCTGGCTCTAAATTTCTCTGTGTTTTATTATGAGATAATGAATTCACCTGAAAGGTATGCAGAAATAGTTGTGCTAACCACGCAGAGGGCAGGGACATATCCTTACTGTTAGATATGATTAGATATTAGTTGATATTATTTGATATTGTTGAGATATTGTTAGATATTGTTAATCACAATATCAAATAATATCTTTTATTTACCCTATTTGTATTCTGTTACTCTTTTGAGGAGTACCTTTCTTTATTATAAATACACTGCCCTATGTGTGGTAAATACACAAGGGAAATTAACCCTATACAGTTTTTCCCTATATTCAACATGGTATCAAGAGCTTAAGGTCTCTTGGGATTTTTTCGGCTCCGCCACTCGAACCTGCAGCTGCCGCCGCCTCCATCGCCGCCGCCGCCGTCGCCGGAGTAGCGGTTCGACCGCCGAGCACAGTGGTTTTGCTCGCCTCCTCCGTGCGACCTCCACCGTGGAAGTTTCGCGGTCATCGGAGCAGCCACGCTTCCTCACGCGCCTCCCGAGCCGCGCCACCTTCTCCCGTTCCGCCGCGTGGCGGCGCGTCTCACCGCCGTTCGGCCGCCGCTCTTTGCGCCGACGTCGCCTCCTTCTCCTCTCTCTGGATCTGTCCTCGCTGCTCCAATCTGACCTCTTTGGTGTTTTAGGGTTTTTCTCTCTCTTCCTCAATGGCATCTTCCGCTGCCACTTCCAATTCTGAAGTTACCTCTGTCAGCTCCGGTGGGTCTGAGCAATCTGTTTTTAATGATTCATCTGCCTTGGCCTCTCACCGTGATGATCGTAATCGCTCTCACAAGCCAGGCAAAGGGCGTGTCAAGTGTGACCATTGTGGCAAACCAGGCCACAAAATTGACAAATGTTATGCTTTACATGGTTATCCTCGCCGATCTGCTGCAGCTTGCTCGGACCGATTCTTCCGCACAATCCTCTGTCGTGGATCCTCCTTCGTCTGTACCTTCGGACAAATCCGCTATCTTCAATGATTTTCTTCAATGGTATGAGGATCGAAAGCCCTCCAGTTCCACTACTTCGTTGCCCACACAGTACATCTTTTGCTAGTCCGACTCACTCTTCTTCTATTGGCTCTTGGGTTCTTGACTCAGGCGCCACCGATCACATCACTCGGTAACAAATCCTTATTTTTCTCTTTCACTTCTTCTCATAATTTACCCTCCGTTACAATGGCTAATGGGTCTACAACTTTAGCTCATGGTGTTGGAACGGTTACTCTTTTTCCCTCGTTGTCCATTGATAATGTTTTGTATGTACCCGGTCCCCCTTTAACTTATTATCCATTAGCCGTCTAACTCGATCTCTTGATTGTGTTATCTCTTTTACCAAAACTTCGTTTCCTTACGGACCGGAGCTCGCAAAAAGTGATTGGCACCGGATGTGAGTCACATGGACTTTATTATCTTCAACCTTCTCCACATGTTGGCACAGCTTATGGAGTCTCCTTCTCTCCTTCATGCTCAGCTTGGTCACCCCGGTCTGCGCAAATTACGAGCAACTTGTTCCCAGCTTATCCCAGCTTGTCCAATTTGGTGTGTGAGTCCTGTCAATTAGGCAAACATAGTCGTACTTCCTTTTCTCGTAGTGTTTCCCAGCGTGCTTCATCCCCCTTTGCCTTAGTTCACTTCGACATTTGGGGACCCAGTCGTGTTAAGTCTAATTTAGGTTTTCAATATTTTGTTACTTTCATTGATGATTTCTCTCGTTGTACTTGGTTATTTTTAATGAAAAATCGTTCTGAGGTGTTTTCTATATTCCAAAACTTTTATCATGAAATTAAAAATCAATTTGGTGTCTCTATTCAAACTTTTCGAAGTGATAATGGCCGTGAATATCTTTCAAACTCGTTTAAACAATTTATGGTTTCTCATGGCATTCTTCATCAAACTTCCTGTGCTTATACCCCTCAACAAAATGGGGTGGCTGAGCGCAAGAATAGACACCTTATTGAAACAACCCGTACTCTTTTAATTCATGGTGCGGTTCCTCAACATTTTTGGGGTGATGTCGTTCTTACCTGCTCGTTATCTTATTAATCGTATGCCCTCTTCGGTTTTAGATAACAAAATTCCCCATTCTATTTTATTTCCTCATGACACTCTCCATCCTTTACCTCTCGAAGGTTTTTGGGTCTACTCGTTTTGTCCACAATTTTGATCCTCGGTCATGATAAGTTATCTCCTCGATCACACAAATGTGTTTTCTTAGGATTTACTCGATCCCAAAAAGGATACAAGTGTTTTTCTCCTTCTCTTAATCGCTATTTTGTGTCTCGCCGATGTCACCTTCAATGAGTTTTCCTTTTACTTTAAGGACCCTTCCCTACCCGCTGAGTCTCCATCTACTACAGCTTCCCATTCCTCGTTCTCATTGATCCTTATGTTGAGGACCATCCACCATTAGCCCCTCCTCCTCCACCACCCCTTCAGGTTTATAGTCGCAGACCTCGCCCACAACAGACGCCACATGACTCACTCCCAGTGCCAAATACTCGCCTCCTCCGGCTCCGTCCACGTAGTCCGACCTTCCTATTGCCCTTCGTAAAGGTACGCGTTCTACTCGTAATCCTTCTCCACATTATACCGCTATTAGTTATCATCGAATTTCTTCACCATTTTATACATGTCTCTCGTCTATTTCTTCCGTGTCTATTCCTAAATCTGCCTCTCGAAGCCTTAGCCCACCTTGGTTGGCGTCAGGCCATGCTAGATGAACTCGGTGCTCTTCGGACTAGTGGAACCCGGACGCTTGTCCCATTACCATCCGGAAAATCTGTTGTTGGTTGCGGTGAGTCTTCGCTATCAAGGTTGGTCCCGATGGTACTATTGATCGCCTCAAAGCTCGCCTTGTAGCCAAAGGCTATACCCAAATTTTTGGGTTGGATTATGGTGATACTTTCTCTCCAAGTGGCAAAGATGGCTTCTATTCGCTTATTCATTGCCATGGCCGCTATTCAACAATGGCCTCTTTATCAACTCGGATGTCAAAAATGCTTTCTTGAATGGCGATTTGCAAGAAGAGATTTATATGGAGCAACCTCCCGGATTTGTTGCTCGTGGGAGTCTTCTGGATTGGTATGTCGTCTTCGCAAATCTTTATATGGCCTAAAACAGCTCTCCTAGGGCCTGGTTTGGCAAATTTAGCGACGTTGTTCAACAATTTGGCATGACTAGAAGTGAGGCAGCACCACTCAGCCTTTTACCGTCACTCGAATGCTCGGATGTATCTATTTGATAGTGTATGTCGATGACATTGTTCTTACAGTGTAGTGACCATCATGGCATCTCTCGGATGAAACAACACCTTTGCCACCATTTTCAAACCAAAGATCTTGGCAAACTCGGATATTTCTTGGGTATTGAGGTAGCACAATCTACCGATGGCATTGTTATATCTCAAAGAAAGTATGCATTGGATATTTTGGAGGAAACTGGGTTGATGAATTCAAAGCCTGTTGACACACCCATGGATCCTAATACCAAACTCTTGCCAAATTAGGGGGAGCCAATGTCGGATCCTCGAACAAGTATAGAAGATTAGTTGGAAAATTAAATTATCTTACAGTTACTCGCCTCGACATTTCCTTTGCAGTCGGTGTGGTGAGTCAATTCCTCAATTCTCCTTGTCAAGATCATTGGAATGCAGTCATCCGTATATTGAAGTACATCAAAAAGTCTCCTGGAAAAGGTTTGGTGTATGACTCCCATAATCATACAAGAGTTGTCTGCTATTCGGATGTCTGATTAGGCAGGATCTCCCTCCGATAGAAGATCTACATCTGGGTATTGTGTTTCCATTGGTGGTAACTTGATCTCATGGAAAAGTAAGAAACAAAGTGTTGTGGCAAGATCCAGTGGCGAAGGCAGTATAGAGCTATGGCCTCAGCTACCTGTGAACTTATTTGGCTCAAGCAATTGCTTAAAGAGCTACAATTTGGAGATGTCACTCAAATGACACTAGTGTGTGACAATCAGGCTGCTCTCCATATAAGCTCTAATCCTGTCTTTCATGAGAGGACTAAACACATTGAGATTGACTGCCATTTTATTCGGGAAAAGATTATGTCTGGAGACATCAAGACTGAGTTCGTTAACTCATGTGATCAATTAGCAGATATTTTCACTAAGTCTTTACGGGGACCTAGGATGGATTATCTTTGTACCAAGCTAGGCACATACGATTTGTATGCTCCAGCTTGAGGGGGAGTGTTAGATATGATTAGATATTAGTTGATATTATTTGATATTGTTGAGATATTGTTAGATATTGTTAATCACAATATCAAATAATATCTTTTATTTACCCTATTTGTATTCTGTTACTCTTTTGAGGAGTACCTTTCTTTATTATAAATACACTGCCCTATGTGTGGTAAATACACAAGGGAAATTAACCCTATACAGTTTTTCCCTATATTCAACACTTACTTTATGTAACTTATTTGCAGGGCCTGCCATCTTGCAAAGCAAGCCTTTGATGATGCTGTGGCAGAGCTAGATACTCTGAATGAGGAATCGTACAAGGATGGTACCTTGATCATGCAGCTGTTGAGGGATAACCTTACGTTATGGACTTCTGATATCACTGAAGAGGGTGGTAAGATATAGAGATCACACATCGCAATTTCTATTTCTTTAGATTCATAGGATTTTTTGATGAACAAATGTTAGATTATTAATGTTAGTTTTTGTTAGTGGAGAGGTTTGAACCCATGATCTATTCTTACCTCCTTCGACTTTTTTCCAATCTTATTTCTCCAAATCATGGATATGTTTATTTTCATGTTAATGACTAAAGTTACTTACTTTATCTTTGCTCACTTTAGAGGAGCTAAATTCAGTTCCTATGTTAATTCTTTCTCGATGATGGTAGCTCAAACTTTTATGAGTTTGGTTTAA